AAAGGGTGTGCAATGTGTGAGCAAAGGGTGTGCAATGTGTGTGCAAAGGGCGTGGAACGGGTGTGTAAAGGGTGTGCAATGTGTGTGCAAAGGGCGTGGAAGGGGTGTGTAAAGAGTGTGCAATGTGTGTGCAAAGGGTGTGCAATGTGTGTGCAAAGGGTGTGGAACGGGTGTGTAAAGGAGGGTAATGGGTGTGCAGTGAAGGGCAATGGGTGTGTAAGACATGTAGTGGGTGTGTAATGCGTGTGCAGCAAGGGGTAAGGGCAGTGTAACGGGCGTGAAACGGCTGTGCAGTGAAGGGCAACATGTAAGGGCCTGCAATAGATGTGCAACAAATGGGTGTGCAAATGAAGGGCAAAGGCTGTGCAGTGGGTGTGTAGTGAGCAAAGGGTAATGGGAGTGTAACTGGTGTGCAATGGGTGTGCAACAAAGGGTGACAGGAGTGTAACGGCAGGGGGATGTAAGGGGCAGGTAACGGGCGAGTGTAGGTGCAATGGCTCACATGGCGGAGCACACATGGCACACCATGGCACACGTGGCATACATGGCACACCTCTGCCGCCCGCCTGGCCTGTTCCAACAGCCCGCCCACGTGGCCCCACGGGCACCCCAACAGCTGGTGAGCCTGGCCCTGGCATCGGCGCGTGCTGTGCCGCAGGCCCTGCCATCAGCAGCACGGCCCCATCAGCAGCACGGCCGGGAGCAGGCGGGGAGGGCTGCGGGGCTCCCTGGGAGCTGTGGGATGCATGTGTGAGCTGTGTGGGGACACAGGACCTGTGGACAGGCACAAGCTGCACGGACACCCACGCTGCACCCCAAGCATGCGAGAGCACGCAGGGAACCACGGACAGGGACACGAGGGGTGAATGCAGCTGCGTGGGCACACGGGCGAGTGGGTGGTGTGGGGGCCTGCGTGAGAGCCGCGGGCAGTGAGTGAGCGCTGGGTGCGGGGGCAGGCAAGGAATGTGCCCCTGCCCCTGCCCCTGCCTTCCGGCCACAGTCCCCGCAATGGCATTTCCTCTCACCCTCAGGGGTTACCTTTGGGCCACAGGCCACATCAGCGTGCAGTGGCAATGTAGAGGCCAGACTGCAAACACATGCCCTTCTCCAAAAAGCAGGGCTTGTTCCACTCCCTGAGAGCCACCACCACTGTCCCCTGCTGGAGGCACGTTTCCCTGCTCATGGCTGGCAGAAAGGGACACTGAGGCACAGCCGAGGTTGGCAGATATCCGGAGGCAGAGACTGCGGTTGCACCCGCAAACCGCAGCTGCCCCGGCACAGGGGACTGTGGTTTCCTCTTGTTGGTGACAGTGGTGACAGCGCAGGGACTGAATGCCATGGGCATCCTTGGGATGGGCTCTAAGCTCCCCAGCCCCTCTCCCACCAATGCAGCTGATCCCATGAGGCCATGGTGTGTTTGGAGACCCTGAGCCTCGTGTGGGCCCACCCAGCCAGCAGCAAGGGGCTCCTGGGATCCCTGGGGTGTCCCCAGGGTAAAGCTCCCACCATATGGTTCCAGGCAGGTGCTGAGGGGCAGCAAACTCCCTTCTTTCAGACTTCAAAGCAGTGGGGATTTCATTTTTCCCTCTCCCTGTGCTGATGCTCAGATCAAAGTGTTCCCTGTCGAACTCGATCCCATTTTTGGTCCATTGGAGCCAAAATCACTGCTTGCATCTGCTGAGCACCCTGAGCTGGCAATGGCTCCTGCACACCCCTGCTTCCACAGCCAAGCGCCCGGGGGGCAAAAGGCACCAACAGGTCTCCCTTCAGCTTCTCCCACCTCTGAGAAAACAAAATGCCAAAAAGAAGATCAAAAGTGGAGCATTCCAGGGGCCCTGTGGCACTGGGGATGCTCAGAGCTGGGCTGGCGCTGCCCGAACATCCCTGTGCCGCTGGTGGTGGGGCACAGTGAAGGTCTCACAGTCCCAAGCCGTGGTTCTTTGCTGGCTCTGGTGGACATGGGGCTGGGTGTTTCGGGGTGGATGCTGCTCGGGATGCAGGTTGCCCCAGCAACGGTTGCTATGGAAAACACTTCAGTGGCAAAATTTCCAGCCATATTCACGTGTCTGTCATTGTCTTCCGGAGGGTCCCTGGTGTACGACGAGCCAGGCACGGCTGGCTCTGCACCGGGCTGCAGGGGACTGGCTGTGCCCAGCCCGGCTTCTCCTGGCTTTTCGCAGCTCTTCCCACTGGTTCTGGTGTGAGAAGGTGTCAGAGGCCCTTAAAGTGGGATTTAGGGGAGCACGGCAGACATGCATGGGACAGGGGGAGCAGGCTGTGCTGAGCCATGCCATATTAATTGGCTAATTGCTGATCAGTGTTCTGTTGGCCCAGCCATGCCGCAAACATCAGATGAGATGTGTTTTGGTGAACCCATGCCAGGCCTGGCATAGCTCTGGGACAGTAGGACATATTGGGAAAGGGGCTGGCACTGGGATGCTTGCAGGCACCAACAGCTCCATCCAGGGCTGCCTGCTCCTGCCCACAGCCCTGCCAGGTCCGTGCTTCAGAAAGCCTCTCCCCACCTCCTGGAGCAGCAATAGGATTACACGGGACTGAGTCTCCTAGCAATGAACAGAGAAATAAATCCTATAAGGCAGGACAGGATTTATTAGACTTCAATATTCTGGAAATAATGAGGACATTTCTCTTGGCTTGTAATATCACGGGACCCAACAGGATCACAACCAGGATTTATCCCTGTGCTTCTCTAGGGGGCTGGGTCAGTTCTTAGCTGCACAGAGAAGATGTCATGGGAGACTGCTTGCCTTTTGAGAGAGCAGGATGACAGGGCACCCCCTCATCTCCAGAGAAGCTGAGGCCGAGTGCGGGCCTTGGGCTGCCCCAACAGTAGCGGCTCTGTTTGTCTCCCCATTCATTCCCTGGCGAGGGCTGGCGCTGATCCTCGCCCCCAGCCGGGGCTCGCCGGGGAGCAGGAAGGGCTGGCTGTGCCACCAACACCAGCTGAGCTTCAAATGCCAGTGCCAGCACTCACCAACAGCACAAGGATCCCCCAGGGGGGACCCTCCTCATACGGAGTGGGAGACCCACTGTGCTGCTGGATGGGACACTGCTGTGAGGTAGGAAGTGGCAGCTTGGAAAAGAGGATGTGGTGCTGCCAGGATCACCTGCCAGGCACCAGCCCTGCCCCTTGGGGAACTGCTGCCCTGGCTGCGGGGAGGTGCTCCCAGGGTCAGCTCCACACTCTGCTCCTTCCTTCTCCAAGCTGCCACGCTCTGCCCCATGGCAGCTCAATCCATGGATCCCATCGAGTCCTTGGGACAGCCTGGTGGGGGCCATGAGATGCACCCCCAGGCAGCCAGCGGAACCGACATTTATTCCCCCTTCCCTGTCACTGAAGCAGCATTAAATGCAAGACATCACCTCCCCATCGCAACTGCCCCGGCTCCAGCACAGCCTCCCCAGAGCCCAACAGCTCAGTAAAGCCGAGCCTGCGGGTGCGGGTTGGACACAGCCGTTTTTCCCGTGGCTCCAGCACGTGGACACCACGGCAGAAGCCCCGACCATCGGGGCACACGGACACAATTGGAGCCTTGTCTGGGGCTCAGCTGCACAAGGGGCCCCTTCAGGCAGCCAGAGAAGGGGGAGCTCCTCAGGGCAAGGATGCTCTGGCCAAGAGGGACTCCTTGTAGGGCCAAAATTACCCCAAAACAAATGCTCAGGGTGGGTCCTGACCCACAGAGGATATGTGAGCTTCCCAGAGAAGACAGCTCAAGGTGGGAACATCTTGAAAGAGGGACCCACATCTCCTGGGAACGTTGCTCTTTGCAGAAAGCGGAGAGTTGCTGGGGACGCCAAGGGCTGGCGGGGACACCGAGGGCTGGCGGGTCCTGGGGCCACCCCCCTTCGTGGGAAGGTGAAATAGCAAGCAGAGAGGGGGTTTGGTTGGTTTGTTTTTCCCTTCCGAAGCAGCCAAGCTGTGTTTTCTGGAGACCTGTAAATCACTCCTCGTCTTCAGGAAAGAGAGGCGAGGAATACATGATCCAACCAAGCAAAAACGCAGGACGCTTGGGAGCGTGGAGGAAGCCAGGAATCAGCCCAGGCTGGAGGCTGCCTCCCGCTCGTCCCGCCAAGCCTGTCCCAGCTTGCTGGGCCGGGAGCTGGCACTGCATCCCGGTATCCTCAGGCCGAGGCGGGCACGCCACACTGCCGCCAGGTGGGGAGCCCCACAGAGAGGGGAGCCGAGGCTCTCGGCCACCACCGTTACACTGCACTTTTCCAGCAGGTCAGGTTGCTTCCAAGATTTCAAAATTTTCCACATTGGCTCAGCTGAAGGGAAGGAAAAACCCCGGAGAAGAGAGGCTGGAGGGTTTGTGGAGAGCAGAGCTGGGGCTGGCAGGAAGGATCCAATATACTGAGGGTCACCAATCTTCCCAGTTCACCAGCATGCCAGTGGAGGCTGTGCTGGCCACATCCCACAGTGTGTGTGAATCCAAAGCCACCCCCAAGCCATCCAGAGCCAGATGCTGCTGCAGGACTCACTCTGGACACAGCCTGGAGCTCTTTAATGCTTTTAAGAGCAGGGCTGGGTTTGGTATCTCAGGCCTTTGGGATCTCCAAAGGTTCCCACTGCATCTCCATTCCACTCTTGCTCATAATACAATGCATAGAATTATTTTCTACTTCTTACCTACTTTTGACCCCAGGGTGCTGCCAAGCTGCTGGAGCAGGAAGAGCCCTACAGTGCAGTTGGGATGGCCATGACACAGCAAAGATTTTGGTCAGCAGCCCCCAGGAGCCAGACACCACAGGGACCCAGCCTATGCGGGGATGACACAATCCTTCCCCACCTCTGTCCAGTGTGTGAGGCCCCAGGAGCGCAGACATGAAGGGACAAGGGGCAGAGAACAACCCAAATATTCCCTCCTCTCCTCTCAGCACCAATGAAGCAAAAGGCAAATCATTTCCCTGGCTGCCTGCTCAGCATCTACAGTGGGCCAAGCCCGCCCAGCCCCACTTGTGGCTGCCCTGGCTGAGCTGCTGTCCCGGCATTTCACTGGGAAAACAGCAAAACAAGCCCTGGCTGCCTTGGAGTCCCTGTTGGGAGGGACCCTCCAAGGAGGGCAGGACCAGCCACTTCCCAGCCCAGCACACAAGGAGAAGGGGCTGGAGATGGTCCGGCACCAGCATCCTGAGCAGGAGAGCAGCCCAGCTCCTGCAGCACCTGCCTTGCACTGCAGCCCCACCACCATCCAGCCAGGGCCACTCACTGCCACCCAGCAGCCCTGAGCTGAGATATCCCCACAGTGGTGCCCAGTTGTCCTTGCAACCTAAACCAGAGCAGAAACTGGCCTGGAAGTGTTTGGAGATGAAAACATGTCATCACCCCATTGTTTTGTTTCTGTCCAATTTCAGGCTCGTTTAAGCAGGTCCATTACAGCTGATTCTGTACAGAACAGGGCACCAAATGTTGCAGCTCCCCCAAGCACGTGGTGTTTTGTTCTTGTCTATCCTGCAACACGTCCACAGAGCAAGGGCTGACTCAGCAGTGGACATGTGAGCCCAAGGCTCAGAGCCACAGGCAAGGGGCCAGTAGCAGCGACGGCATCACTCGCCCTGTTAGCGGGAAGGATGGGGCTCGTGCCGCTTTCCCCTGGCACAGCACCAGCATGGGCTGCCCCTCCGAGTGGGCTCAGAGCACCCCGTGGGGAAATGCTGGTGAGCACCTCTACCCTGAGGGTGTGCACAGCCCAGGCATCAGGGGCTGCCCAGCTCCACCAGCGCCAGGTCAGCAGGGATGGCCAGGATGACGGAGCATTGCTGGCCTCCAGCTCCGGCTGCTCGCTCCACACCCAGGCGCCTTGGCCTGCCCTCCCTGGCAGCTGCACTTTGCTGAGTGTCCCTGCGTGGCCATGCCTTCGGGGGGCTTCTTTACTCCTGCAGCACTGCTACAGGTCTATGTTGACATTGTCACCCCCAATTCTGGATTAATCCCACCATCAGGCCCAGTGCTGCAGCGGGAAAGTGATCCAAGCACTTGCTCAGACCCCCGGGCTGCTATCAGGGCAGACACCAGGCACATCTGAGCACAGGTTTTAGTGACCACAGTCAGACACTCCTTACTGCATGTGACCCTTAATTTCTTCGTCCTCTGCTTCCCGCGAAAACCAAGCTGCCAGCATGCAAGAATTTTGGGATGGAATACTTTATTCATGTGAACACTCAGATCCTGGCCCTCCCTGCCTGCTGCAGCTGCTCCCATCTTCTTGACAGTGTGAACAAGGAAGATTTCTTCATCAGCTTGCTTAACACCCCCCCAGCATCATCAGACCCCACAAACAAGTACAGACAGTTTGGCTTTGTCTGGACAGGAGCAGAGGGCGGAGGGGCAGGGAGTGCTGTGGGGCTGGCAGAGCAGGGAGAAGGGCTCCAGCCCACAGTTTGCACACACAGAGCAGCCACAGAACCTTCCCGCAGCTCCACTCTCACCACCAAATATGCCAGCACCCTCCAGCCTTGGCAGCTCCCCTTGCAGCCAGAAGCACCTGGGGTTGGCAAAAGATTGGTGCCACCTCCTCTTCTCCTTGGAAAGCTGCTGCCAGAATCAGACCCGTATCTTCTGTCACCTGCTGGGCCATTTAACCCTCAAAGTGCCCCCTGCCCACTGACAAATACCCTCCCCAAAATATTACAGTAAAAGGAAAAACCTGCACGTTGAGATGTACAGGCTGAGTCTTGGGTAGAGAACGGTTTCCGTGCTGGGTGGTCCAGCGGTGGCCGGCAGCCCCCAGACAGCCCTCGGGCACAGAAGGGAGCAGGATCCACCACGGCCACCCCTGGCACATCAGGGCTTCATCCTGCTCAGTCTGATGTCACGCTCGATTTCAAACTGCCTGTGATCCACGCGCTCCAGGAACGCTTTCCTCTCGATGTACCTGCAGGGAGGCAGAGGCTGTAAGCAGTGCCCGGAGCAGCCAGTGCCAAAGCCCACCCAAAGGGATGAGCAGGGAGGGAAGGCACCATCCACCTCTCTCCCTCTCTCTCCACGAGCTGATCGCTGCACTGAACATCTCCTATGGACACCAAAACTGCTCTGTGGCCTGTTGGCTGTCCCCTGCGGGACTCGCAGAGGTCTGAGGTGAGGGGTCCCCATAGGCTGGAGATCTGAACTGGCTGCTTCTGGTTCCAGTTCTTCTCCTACAGCTGAGAAATGTCCTTCACAGACACCTTGCAGGGGATCAGAACAGGCCCTTGCACCACCCAGCAGAGCATCTCAAACCCATCCGCAGAGGCACAACCCACGATACAAGCCAGTAACAGGCACAGGGAGCATCAGGGATGCAAGGAGCATCACCCAGCAAACCTGCAGCAGCTCAGGGATGAAAGCCAGGGGCTTCCCAGCCACAGACCAGCTTTTAACCACTGCTGAGTATTTACTGCTGCCCCTCAGCGTGGCACCCTGAGTGCTGTGAGGAAGAAGGCAGGCCTGTGCCTGGAAAAGCACCTTGCCACTCATTAATGGCATGTAGCTGAATTTTAATGTACTTTGCTGCAAACCCTTGCCACAGACAGCCTGGGGCTGTGCTACTAATTAACCTACAGAGGGAGCGAAATTGCAATTCAAAACAGGAGCTGTAATTGAATCATCACAATTGTTTTGCATTTGTTCCAGGGTGGCAAACACTGGACTGTCATGACAAGGTCATTACGCTTGTGTGAGATGCACAGGGAGCCACTGCATTCAGCTTCTCTGTTGGTCACTGCTTTTCCTGCATGGCAGCTGGTGCCTGCTCACCAAGCAAGACTGAAGGCCAAGGAAAGATGAGCATGACAGGCTCTGTGGGTTTTCCAGGCTGCTGGGTGGCTGGCAGTGTGCACAAAGGTGCCCAAGACCCAGCTTCATGGGAAGGCTGAAGCCCTCTCTTGCCACCAGCAGTGGTTCCTCTTGGACAGAGGGACCTTTGATGATGAGGTCTCTGCAAGGTCAGGCTGGATGGGGCTCTAAGCAATCTGATCTAGCTGAAGATATCCCTGCTCACTGCTGGAGGTTGGATTCCATGATTCTGTGATTCTTTATGCTACAGCTATGGAACTGGTGCTGAATGTCCTCCCAGCACCAGGGTGCCTTTGCCCTTGCTGCAAGGGATGGCCCTGACACTCCTGCCCACCCAGTCATCATTGGAAATTAATTAATCCAGATTAATTTCATCGAGTGATCCCCCAAGCGGATGAACAGCCCCACGTGTCCCCACTGCCACCCCAGCCCCATCGCAGCTCCAGCCTGTCTCGTGCTGACACAACTGGGTCAGCTCGTCTCCGCCGGCTGCGAGGACAGGGATCAGCACGGCTAATGCAGGCTGTGAGGAGCTATTTCTCTGGCCCCTTCCCCCTGCCATCAGAGCCAAGGCCCCCTCCCCACACCGGTTCAGGAAAGGTGGCAGGGGAGTGTCGCTTTCCTTCATCCCTGCAAGCAGGGAGGTGACCTGCTCCGGGGGCCGGGCTCGGAGAGGCCACGGGAAGGAAGTTGGGGGGTCACGCTGTATATTAGTGTGTCATATTGCTGGGCGTGTGGTTTTCCTCCCCCTCCACTGCTAAACATCGACCACAACCACAGCCGGGAAGGCAAGGACAGGAGTCACTGCTGTTATCTGGGAACACCCTGACTGCCTGGGCAGCAACAGCCCGAGCTACTGAGCCTGAAGCTCCTTTGGCCCCTCTGCGATACCCGTCTCCCAGTGGGTCAGCAAACGGGAAATCAAGGGGTCAGCCCTTTCCTCCTCCTCCTCCATGACTGCTGTGCCTCTCCAGTGGGCAGGGCCTGGCTCCCGGGGGGATCGATATGGATCATGAACCAGGAATGTGGTCTCACAGCCGCAGCCAGCAGTGCTGCATGGAGGAGGAACTGCGACGTCACCCCACAGCTTTGTCCTTGGCTGGCCACAGCGAAGTGCTGTAGGGGCCAGAGCAGACCTTACAGGCACTGCCTGGGCATACACGGGGCCTGGCTGGGTTGTGCTGCACGCACACAGGCTGGAGGTGCTGACAGACACGAGCAGGGCTGTTGCAGGGTCGGTGCAAGCCCCTCTTACCCTGAAGGCCCTGCTGGAGCTGCAGCTCTGCTTCTGTTCTCAGCCAGCTCCACACAGCCGACACCAAGGCGCCGCCAAACACGGTCCAAAGTGCACGAGTGAGGCACAAACACCCGTCTTGCGCTTGTCTAAACAACCTTTGCTACCTGAATCAATACCCTCCTGTAAATTATCAACCTGCCTGGAAACAGGGCAGCTGTGATCCACAGCAGAGGAAGGAAAATCCACTGGGAGCGAGGCTGTCTCTGCTAACAAGGGCAGCTGCAAGCTGCTCTGGGGAGGGTCTCAGTGGTGCTGCCTGTCCCCTGCCAGTTGCCATCAGTCATTGGTGCAGGAGTGCATGGGCTGGCTGCTCCCCCACGGGGCTGCCCTACAAAGGTGGCCCAATTAAGAGGCCACTAACACATTTCCATTTATAAAGCACATCAGAGAGATCAACAGCAAAGGGCATAGCTGCCTCCCCTCCTCAGTCCAGCCCCTCCTCTCAAATCCAGGACAGGCCCTCAGGACCCAATACAGACAGGCTGCACAAGCTCAGATCCTGCTCCCAAGGAAAGGCAAATCACCGGCTGAGGCTGGTGATACAAGGGGTAGAAAATCAGAGGCAAGGGGGGACAGAACTAAGGGGCAGCAGCACATGTCCCCTCTGCCTTGGGAATCCTGGGCTCAGGCTGTGGCTGGCTGATAACTGCATTGGCAGCAGACAGATGCCACAGCCCCACTGCTCCACTGGCTGCTGGTGTTCTGGCCCAGCATGTGTCGCTGCTGGAGAAAGGACAAGGGAGGTCCAAGGCACAGGGAGCTCGGGGCTGTGAACAGCAACTTCTACAAGGCTACCACAAAAAAAAAATTCAGCCTGCCTTCCCTCCTGAGCAAAAAGTAATGCCTCCTGCCTTCCTTGAGACACGCATGGACCATCTCTGTAAACGCACAGGCTTGTGCGGCATCGAACAAACATCTCCAGGAGTGGGCTGTGGCTTTCCTCATCAGGCAGACATTTACAATCACACAGCAGGACACGTGGTGAGCAGAGGTTTCTAACAGCATCAGGGATTAAAGGCAGTGCCCCGCTCCCTCCTGCCTGGGTTGAAGGGTTAACAACGGCTCATTACAATTTTTATAGAGATGTGTAAATGATTGCTCACTGAAGGGTGAGCACAGCTGACATCATTAAAGGAGAAGAGGCGGCTGCAGAAGGGACAACAGGCTCCTGTGAAATGACCTGAGGCTGGCAGCAGCCGTGCCTGTGACCTGCCCCCCAGGCAGGCTGGCAGCTCTGTAGGGGTGCAGCACCCTAAACACTGCGGGCGTTTAGAGGTGGCCTGTAAGAAGAAATGCACTGGCCTGCACCTCCATCAGTGCTCCTCCCTTCTCCCTTCCTTTACCTTGAAGTGGAGGTAATTCCCAGTGAGCAGATCCCCTCACACTACACGCCTGGCTAGCACAAACATATTTGTAAGGAGTGTCTAAAGTTATCACAGCATTACATTCCTTATTTGTTTAATGACAAAAAACCCTTGCCAAGAGCTCAGCAGTTTTCTAGCCTGGGATGTGACAGGCAGCAAAACACAAAACTGTTTAAAGAATTAAAGATGCTCTTAAAATTGCTGCTCTGCTTTGCTCATCTTTTCAATGTGCTGATGCCTCCTTTGGCCTTCAAGGACCATTATGTGAGCACCTTTGGAAAGGTTTGCCAGGTGTGAAGAGCGAGCTGTCCTGCTTGGATGTGGTGGGAAAGGAAACAGCACTGGCCAAGAAAGGCTGACATACTAAGTTGGGGAACACGAGAGATGGCACAAAACACTGCTCTGCCACACCTGGATGTGGTGGAAATCACTCAACCCCTTGGATTTCAGGGATCTCGGAGGAACACCTGCCCCTCTCCAGCACTCCTACGTGTTCAAGGGCGTGTGGCCAGAAACAGAGCAGGGGAGATCTGATGGGGAATGGGTGTTGTGGAAGGGTGCAAGACCAAACCGAAATATCTACTTGATAGTTTGACAGTTATACATATATATATATATATATTGAAATACAAAATCCAGTCTGTTGGAATGCAGAAGCTGAGTTTTTCCTGCTGAGTAAAAGAACAGCTTATAATAAAATATACATTTTACGATCTGTCCACTAAGCTGGTTACATTTTCCCAGAGCTTAGCAAAGCACTTGTAGTGGAAATGCTGCTTCTGATCTCATTATCACTCCCTGCAGTGCATGTTATTAACTTTCTGTTTTATTTACAGCATTGCCATTTACTTTTATGATGCTTCCATTAACTTCATTGGAGTGAACATTACTTGATGCACACAACCAACGCCCAATGCTGCCATAATCCTTAATGCACCTTGCCAGCTGTTCTGGGTTTGCAACATCTTTATGCAGGGGGAGGGAGGACAGATGCAGCTGGAACAGTCATTTGAAGAACAGAACAAACCATACCTCCCAGTTTGAAACAAGAAAATGGTGCAAAGGCAACTGTTTCCTCGTGGGAGTGCTGGATTAGACTGGTTCACGCTGCATCTGTACCACGAGTAGGAGAGCTGATAAAGCCAGACTTTGGCTGGACTTGGAGACCTCACAGGGTTGTTAGCAGAGAGTGACAGATGTTTGCAGACTTACCTATCTCCCTGTGATGGCTACAGGAGCTACTGATTTTATGTATCCCTAGAATAAATCCTTAAGGAATCCCATAGGTTTTCTGAACTCTGCAGGAAGCAACAGACTTACCACATGCATAGGAAGTGGTGGGAAATGCTGGACTACCATTAGGTAAAGTCCCTCTTACCCATCTTTCCCTCGATTGTGGATTGCCAGCTCCTCCACAATCCCCTCCTCCTCCTTGAAGTTCTCCCAGTCCAGTTTAGATTTCTCCAGTGTGCTCATCTTCTGCTTTTTGGCGCCAATCTTCCCCAGGAGGCTGCTCATCCCGCTTGGCCTCTTCACCCTGTCGGAGATTAGGGAGCAAATGTCACTTAAATGCAGGGAGACAGCAATTAAAAACAGAGCTGAGAAACGTCACATGGGAGAGTGGTGGCCTCGATGGTGGTGAGCCACTGCCACGAAACAGATGGCCACCAACTCCGGGCAGCCTGCAGGCGGCAAGGTCACGCTTCCTGCAGATCCTGCTCCACCGTTCCCCTGGAAGCAGCAGAGTTCATTACACACATATCTCAAGTGCTTGCTTTTTGTGAAAGGGCTTTTTCATTTATCTTCTTAAGAGAACAGAGAGCTTTCAGGTCAAAAGAGATCATTAAATCATCTAGTTTGACCCCTTGTATATACCAGGCCAAGCCATTCCACTGATCACCTCTGTGCTAAGCCTGGTTCTTTGTCTTCAGTTAAAGTGTTGTTTTCTGGAAGGGATCCAGCCTCAGTGCGTCACCAGCGCTGACAACACAACTAGGAATTAACCATTTCATTGGTATTAACGCTTGATTTTTCTCTAGCTTTAGCTTCTGATTGCTGCTGCTTATTCTAAATCCAAGAGCACTCTGGTCTCTAGGCGAGTCTCATTAGTGACGTACTCGTAGACCATAATGAACTTACATCTGAATTCGGTTTTGTGCAAACAGATAGAGCTCTTCTGCCTCTCATTGAAACGCATTTTGTCCCAGCCTGCATGTCACTCCCAAGGTTTTGTCCCCCTGCTTACTCTTCAACACTCTTTGAAGATGGGGGCACCAGAACTGGCTCATCCTTCTCCTGATCTGTTTGTGTCCAAGGATTGCCTAAACCCTGTTTGACACACCGAGTCCCACTGCACATGCACTGCGATCCCACACCACCTCCCAGCTCCCTGTTTGGCAGGAAGACCACTTTGGTCTTTCATTACCTTGTTCTTGGAGGAGTGAAATCCCACCCGCATGGTGGGCCCCCCCGAATCTCCCCTTTATGCTGAGAAATGCACACACAGGGACTGGGGTCAGCTGGGCTGCCCTCTGAGGAAGACAATTCTCAGGGATAGGAACCCATAAAACAAACTCATTTTAACCCTTCTTAAACCCCCCCAGGAGAGGGGGGCAAACAGTGTCCCATTGAACTCGGTGTTTACACACATTCCAGAGATAACTTCAGGTCTGCAGGGCCTTTGCCTCTGCAAGAAGCCAGAGAGGAAATGATTCTCGTTCCTGAGAGATGGAGGAATCTGGGGAGGGGGGCCCAAGGAAGGCAGCCAGGTGAGCATGGCAAATTGCTCTCCATCGGTGCTTTCCGAGCACAGTCCTGCCCAGGGGTAGCCATTCTTGGGAACGTATCCAAAGTTGTCCTTATCAGATCATTAGCGTGGTTTATGCTTCCGTAATTTGCAAGCCTCTAAAGGAAGATAATTCTGCAGTTTATATGGAATTAAATCAAAGAAAATGACAACTCTGTAAGCCCCAGACAGAAGACTCTCAATGCAAGAATGGTTGGCCAGAGTCACCTGGGGTAGCAGCTTCCTGACATAGATATATTTGGGCTACAAACTCTGGATTAAGGGCATATTGGCAGGTTCCATAGCCACTGGACAAAGTTGTCTGCCCCTCCTTATACTGTCCAGCCAGAGGAGCAGAAATGGCCTAGGACCTGGCCTCTTATTTCCTTCATTCCCTGCTCACAGCTGGAGCACAGACCAGCAGCCAGCCCTTTTCATTCTGCAGGGATACAGAACATGCTGGATGCTCTTTAATTTGCCTTTATCCCTGAACATCTCATCAAGATATCTACAGCCCTTCACATCATGATCACACAAAAAAACCTTGACCCTTGCTCAGCCTCCAATTCCCCCTTACTTTTCAAGACTTGATGGCTCTGGGCATCCTTATCTGCAGGTAGCAGGAAAGTGGTGTTAAAGGATAAAATGGGCAAAGATATTCTCAGCACAAGATAAAATTGGGGGGATTTGGTTCCCACATCAGGACTACACACAAGCCTTGCACAACCACCAAACACAGCATCAGAGATGCAGAAATCAAAGTTGTTGTCCCTTGTCTCTAGATTTCTCCTAAATGTTTTTTGGGCAAAAAACACCAGTGGCATTAAGAGCCATCTCACCTGTCCAAGGGCACCCACAGCTCATGGGCATCCACTGACCCTCCTGTGGGTGGGAGTCCACAGATACCGTCCACTGAACTACAGACAGGCCTGACTCTGCACAGGGCACAGCACGCCCCTGGAAAAACCCACTGGAGGCAGTTTCAGGATCTCTCCTGTGTGTCAGAGGAATACCTGCCCTGCAGAGTGACAGGCAGGCTCAGAGGCAGCCTCACACATGCTGAGACCGATGCCTTTTCCCCCTGAGGGGGAAGAGCTGAGCTGGGACAGGGGTCAATCGGCCAAGCTGGGCTGCTGAACACACCCCTGCATGAAACACAGACTGGGACGTGGTGACAGGCCACTGCTGTCCCCAAACTGCAGTGGAGGATATACAGAAGGGAAGGGAACCAAAGGCAAGATGGTTCATGGCCAGAGGTGGTTCTGGCTTCACAGCAGGGAGCAGGGGCTGCAAGCTAGGTGAGGGTTGCCTGTCATCATCTTTTCTCCTATGGCAATTCCAGGTATAAATTAACAACATCTACATGCACACATCCATCTGCAATGGTGCTCAAGGCCTCTGTATCTCCTCTTGGCCATGGATCTCAGGAATATCTCTTAGGAGATATAGTTCACCCCATGTTTGAAGTTACAGAGTCTAGGCTAGGACATGGACATCCATCAGGGGCGTTCAGATAACCACAAGAATACTCACAAGTCAACAGCTCCTTCAAGGCAAGGAAACCTGATGAAAAAGGACAGGCTATTTTGCACCCTTGTGTCGATGACTACTCAAAAAACATTATTAATATCCAATGTCAGTCCCATGCTGGAAGTGGGCTCTGGGCTGGATGACCTGGCTCTGCTCCTGCCTGGACAATTCTGTGCTGCTGCAGCAGGACCAAGCAGGACCAAGCAATGAGACAGGGCCAGCACAGGCTGAAGGACATGTTCAAGTCTGCTGCTGAGTCTTCACTCCATGCTGAGCCTGAATAAATCCAACAGCAAACCTGGGGGTGGGAATTCCTACGCTTGTGCCAAAATGAAGTAAATGAGAGACATTAAAGTCCAATTAAAAACTTGCTTGGCCTTAAATGCCTCATCTGTTTAAAAAGCAAGTAAAGGGGCCTGATTAATTGCATTCAGTGCCAACAAGAGGAATTATTACCCTTTTTGTACTCATTAAGGGTATCTGCTGTGGCATCTTTAATCACTAAGGCATTTAAAAGAGAGAAAGTAATTTGCTAAGACATAATGGATCCCAGGGATGAGGATCAGGACAATCCTCTATTTAGGACACAAAGACATGCTCTGAATTTTCACAATTAGAAAAGCACGGCCAAAGTCAGCCCCTGAACCAGCAAAAATAAAGTGCTGGGGAGCTCTGCCTTGGTGGGGGGGATTCCTCTGCACCATCTAATGTCATCAGGACAAAGGCTGTGCCTGTGCATTATCTGTTATGGTTGTACACAGATTCAAGCAGCAAGCCATGGGCTCCCTTGCCGTCCCACCGTAGGTGAACACACTCTGCATCACTGTCCTTAACAGTGAGCCTTCAGCCTGACCAGGACCCCGGAGAATTGCTGCTATAGCAGTGACAAAGTGTCACTGCCGCATGTAATCCCTGATGTCTTACGACATGAAGGTCGGCAGCATCTGGGAAACGAATGCCTGCTCTGAAGAGGCAGACTTCATCACAAGCCTTAGAAAATAATCCAGTCAATTAGGAACTACAAAGGTCTCACAGTGCATCCCACCAGACAAAGCAAGATGAGTTCCTCTCGTACCCATCCAGAGATGGGTGCTCTGAAGGCCTCCTGTCACCAACCCCACACGCACCAGAGGTTTCAGTACTTCATCAGCCTTTCACTTATGTAAGTCTTCCCTAGTGATTAAATTTCTTGCTCAGCCTATGACTTGGTATATTCTTCCTCATAGCTACTAAGAACAGATCATTCCCTCACTTTTTGCAGCAGCCTTTTATGTCCTTAAAGCTTTTGGTATTGCCTCCCCACTCAGCTTGCTCTTTCCTAGACTAAACAATCCCAGGTCCCTTCAAGCTTTTCTCATTCCTCATGGTTTCCAGCCCTCTGACCACTCTCACTGCTCTCCCTGGACTCTCTGCTATTGGCCCATATCTTCCTCGAGGCGCAGCATCCAAAAGGGGCATAGCTGCAGTGCCGGGTTTCCCAGCACCGGGAGCAGGAGGAATGCTTCGGATGCCTTGCGACGCACGCAACTCCTCACACGGCCCCGTGACGTTCGTCTTCTTCACAACCCTGTGACAGCATTGACTCATGTCAAACCTGTGATTCACCCAGAGATCTGTCTGCTCTGCTGCTGCCAAGCCATTGCCTTCCTCTATCCATGCAGAACATTCCTGCTACCCAAAGGCTACTCTTTGCACTGTGTTGCCCCTCATGTTTGCCCTCACGTTTCCCCCAACCCAGCAGATCTCGGGTGCCTTTGCAAATCAGCCTCTCCTATCCACACCAGCCATGCTGCAGCTGTTGGAGAGGAACACTGGGGTAAGTACTTCATTTTGTAAAATACCTATGGAGACTATTCAGCAGCTGAACCAGCACCAGCTGGCCAAAGAAGATCAAGCTGATGGCCAGAAGCAGGCAGGGACCAGCAGGGTCAGACTGCAGGAGCTGTGACAGCTCATGTTGTCCAACTTCAGTGAATGAAGTGAGCCCAAAGGACACCTAATCCCATGTTGACCAAGGAGCCAGCAGTGTCCCCAGCTTCAGCCTGACCTCCATCCTTGGGGATCACAAGCTCTCTGCTGCTCTGTTTCTGTTGGCTCCACGGAAGCGTGCAGACCACAGACCCTGCGCAGCTTCCCCATCTGCCTTGTAGCATCCCTGGGTAACAACTTCTGCAGCAGGAACTTCTGTCATCTGTCTATCAATACTTTTAAGAACAGCCAGT